TGGTGAAATTCTTCCAGAGTCTCCTTCCCATGGGTCCAGATGATGAAGATGTCATCGATGTAGCGTAGGTAGAGAAGGGGTGTAAGTGGACGAGAGCTGAGGAAGCGTTGTTCCAGGTCGGCCATAAAAATGTTGGCGTATTGTGGGGCCATGCGGGTGCCCACAGCAGTGCCACTGGTCTGGAGGTATATATTGTCACCAAATCTGAAATAGTTGTGTGTGAGGATAAATTCACAGAGTTCAGCCATCAGTTGTGCTGTGGCATCATCAGGGACACTGTTCCTGACAGCTTGTACTCCATCTGCATGTGGGATGTTTGTGTAGAGAGCCTCTACATCCATGGTGGCTAGGATGATGTTTTCTGGAAGATCACCAATGCATTGTAGTTTTCTCAGGAAATCTGTAGTGTCACGGAGGTAACTGGGAGTGCTGGTGGCGTAGGGTCTGAGCAGAGAGTCCACATAGCCAGACAGTCCTTCAGTGGGCCTCATCCTCCCTGATTGGATCCACCTCGTCATCTCCAGCCTGATTCTGGCCTGCATATTTATACCTGCCTCTGGAAATTTCCACTACATGCATCTGACGAAGTGGGTCTTTGCCCACGAAAGCTTGTGCTCCAACACTTCGGTTAGTCTCTAAGGTGCCACAGGACTCCTCGCCGCTGACGCCAACAAGTCTGTCCTCTTCACCCACGCTTCTCCCCTCCTTCCTTGGCCATCTGGATAACCTTCACACCTTTATCTCAATGCGTACATACCACTTCCACACACAAACAATTTTTTACAAGGACTTTCAAAGAAAAGCAAAACACCAGTATCTTGTATTGGGCTAAGCAACAGCCAATTAAATCAAACAAGACTTCAGCCTTCAACATTTCTCTAGTCTCATTAACATAGACACAAAACCAAAACTCCATTTCTGTACTTGCTAAACTCATCCAACTTTAAAACAAGACAATATCTACGTCACTAAAGGGTTTCGTTTAGCACAGTATTAACTGTGGTAATCTGTCCTTACAATGCTACATTATTAAACCTAACATACAAATATAGCCCAGCCCTAAGGAGTCCAGCTCCCTCCTTGGGACTTAGCCACATTGCCAGTGGCTATGAGGAATCCAGTTCCAATCCAGGGACCCTATAAATAGCAACCAGGTTGGGCTCCCTTTCATGAGTCACAGTTGCATTACCTGGGCCTCTTCCCACCTGGCCCCTCAACCTCGCCCCGCTACCTCAGAGCTCTCAGGCCCGCCCTCCCCGGCGCCAGTCTGTGGTGCCACTTGACCTCCGGCCTGCAGGACCCCCCTTCAAGAAAGCTGTGGAGAAATTGGAGAGGGTCCAGAAAAGAGCAACAAGAATGTCTAGAAAACATGGGCTATGAAGGAAGACTGAAAGAATTGGGCTTGTTTAGTTTGGAAAAGACCGGCCTGCAGGACCCCCCTTCAAGAAAGCTGTGGAGAAATTGGAGAGGGTCCAGAAAAGAGCAACAAAAATGTCTAGAAAACATGGGCTATGAAGGAAGACTGAAAGAATTGGGCTTGTTTAGTTTGGAAAAGAGAAGACTGAGAGGGGACATGAGAGCAGCTTTCAGGTGTCTAAAAGGGTGTCACAAGGAGGGGGGAGAAAATTTGTTCCCCTTGGTCTCTGAGAATAGGACAAGCAGCAATTGGCTTAAACTGCAGCAAGGGAGGTTTAAACTTCCTCACTGTCAGGGTGGTCAAACACTGGAATAAATTGGCTAGAGAGGTTGTAGAATCTCCATCTCTGGAGAATTTAAGAGCAGGTTTGACAGACACCTGCCCGGGATGGTCTGGATGGTGCTGGGTCCTGCCATGAGGGCTGGGGACTGGATTCAACGCTCCAGTTCTAATGCTCTATGGGTATGTCAACACTTGCAGCCTAATTCGAAATAGGGCTGCAAATGTAGGCATTCGAAATTGCAAATCAAGCCCAGGATTTAAATATCCCGCACTTGATTTGCATCTTCCCGGCCGGGTGCCACTTTTTGAAATTGACAAGCCCTATTTTGAAATACCTGTTAAACCTCATCACAGGAGGAATAACAGGTAGTTCAAAATAGGGCTTTATTTCGATCGCCTGTTTCACTGTCGCATGAGACACAGGCATGAATGAACTGAGGCCAGGGTTTTCGCGTGTATACAGCACCTAGCGCAGTCTCAGCCACTAGGCCGAATTGTCGTGCACATGACAGTTGTGGATTGACACCCACACGTGGCTCAGCAGCTCCTGTTGCCGCCTGAAGTGAATCCCAGGTTATTTGTTAGTGAGACTTGGGCCTGGCACCCATCTCAGATCTAAGTGCATTAATGAGACGGCCCCTTTCATCTGCCAAGGTGAGCGGCGGGAATATACCTATGAACCCCCTGCCAAGAAGAGGAGGACGATGGATCGACCTGGATTGACACCCACACGTGGCTCAGCAGCTCCTGTTGCCGCCTGAAGTGAATCCCAGGTTATTTGTTAGTGAGACTTGGGCCTGGCACCCATCTCAGATCTAAGTGCATTAATGAGACGGCCCCTTTCATCTGCCAAGGTGAGCGGCGGGAATATACCTATGAACCCCCTGCCAAGAAGAGGAGGACGGCGGATCGACCTGGGACAGGCCTGTTGGGTGACCCGACCATGATCATCTGTAAGTACGAGAACCCTGGGCCGGGAACGCCCTGGGCTTTAGGGAGCGGGCAGGACGGGCCGGGAACGCCCTGGGCTTTAGGGAGCGGGCAGGACGGGCCGGGAACGCCCTGGGCTTTAGGGAGCGGGCAGGACGGGCCGGGAACGCCCTGGGCTTTAGGGAGCGGGCAGGACGGGCCGGGAACGCCCTGGGCTTTAGGGAGCGGGCAGGACGGGCCGGGAACGCCCTGGGCTTTAGGGAGCGGGCAGGACGGGCCGGGAACGCCCTGGGCTTTAGGGAGCGGGCAGGACGGGCCGGGAACGCCCTGGGCTTTAGGGAGCGGGCAGGACGGGCCGGGAACGCCCTGGGCTTTAGGGAGCGGGCAGGACGGGCCGGGAACGCCCTGGGCTTTAGGGAGCGGGCAGGACGGGCCGGGAACGCCCTGGGCTTTAGGGAGCGGGCAGGACGGGCCGGGAACGCCCTGGGCTTTAGGGAGCGGGCAGGACGGGCCGGGAACGCCCTGGGCTTTAGGGAGCGGGCAGGACGGGCCGGGAACGCCCTGGGCTTTAGGGAGCGGGCAGGACGGGCCGGGAACGCCCTGGGCTTTAGGGAGCGGGCAGGACGGGCCGGGAACGCCCTGGGCTTTAGGGAGCGGGCAGGACGGGCCGGGAACGCCCTGGGCTTTAGGGAGCGGGCAGGACGGGCCGGGAACGCCCTGGGCTTTAGGGAGCGGGCAGGACGGGCCGGGAACGCCCTGGGCTTTAGGGAGCGGGCAGGACGGGCCGGGAACGCCCTGGGCTTTAGGGAGCGGGCAGGACGGGCCGGGAACGCCCTGGGCTTTAGGGAGCGGGCAGGACGGGCCGGGAACGCCCTGGGCTTTAGGGAGCGGGCAGGACGGGCCGGGAACGCCCTGGGCTTTAGGGAGCGGGCAGGACGGGCCGGGAACGCCCTGGGCTTTAGGGAGCGGGCAGGACGGGCCGGGAACGCCCTGGGCTTTAGGGAGCGGGCAGGACGGGCCGGGAACGCCCTGGGCTTTAGGGAGCGGGCAGGACGGGCCGGGAACGCCCTGGGCTTTAGGGAGCGGGCAGGACGGGCCGGGAACGCCCTGGGCTTTAGGGAGCGGGCAGGACGGGCCGGGAACGCCCTGGGCTTTAGGGAGCGGGCAGGACGGGCCGGGAACGCCCTGGGCTTTAGGGAGCGGGCAGGACGGGCCGGGAACGCCCTGGGCTTTAGGGAGCGGGCAGGACGGGCCGGGAACGCCCTGGGCTTTAGGGAGCGGGCAGGACGGGCCGGGAACGCCCTGGGCTTTAGGGAGCGGGCAGGACGGGCCGGGAACGCCCTGGGCTTTAGGGAGCGGGCAGGACGGGCCGGGAACGCCCTGGGCTTTAGGGAGCGGGCAGGACGGGCCGGGAACGCCCTGGGCTTTAGGGAGCGGGCAGGACGGGCCGGGAACGCCCTGGGCTTTAGGGAGCGGGCAGGACGGGCCGGGAACGCCCTGGGCTTTAGGGAGCGGGCAGGACGGGCCGGGAACGCCCTGGGCTTTAGGGAGCGGGCAGGACGGGCCGGGAATGCCCGGGGCTGGAGGGAGCGGGCAGGATGGGCCGGGAATGCCCTGGGCCTTAGGAAGTGGGGGCACTGACTCAGAGGGCTCGCCAGCCGCGGCCATTTCCTGGAGCTCCCAGGGGTAGCACAACCCTGCTCACTGCTCAGCTGGGACCTGGCTCCCGAGCGAGGGCTGAGGTGCTCTGACGTCACCGTGTCCTTCTTCAGACGAGACCCTGGAAGAGGAGGCCAGGGGACTTCTGAAGAACTTGTACGAGAAGCTGTGCAAGTTTCTGCCCGAGGGCAACATGTGGGACGGACTGAAATACCTCAAGTGAGTCGGCCGCTTGGTTCCTCTTGGGAAGACGAAGGGATTTAGACCCCCCTCCCAGCCCCTGCTCCCAGAGTGCTCAGCTCACCTGCTCTACGCTGGGCTCTGAACACCGCCTGCAGGCCTGGCTCTAGCCAGGAGCATAGGAACGGTCAGGCTGGGTCAGACCACGGCCCCTCCAGCCCAGCGTTGTCCTTGACAGCTGCAGCCACTTCGGAGGGAAGCATAAGAACCCCTCCATTATGGGATGTCCCCCATGAATGTACAGCTCACCCCCCAGCCCTGTATGGCCCCTGGAAAATACCCCTGCAGATACCTTCTCAGAGCCCTACCCGCTGAAGAGACGGCCCGGGGAGAAGAAGGAGTTCCGGGGGAGGGGTGTCTACACTGAATGCAAACCGGGGTGTGAGGGACCCACACTTCCAGAGACCCTGTGTGTGGAAACCTGCTCTTGTGTGTCCATGCGGCGCTGTAAGCCTGGGATTGCGATGGTGAGACCAGGACTCACAATTGCGCTGACATGTCCGTGCCGCCCCACGTAGATCTGGTGTATCCCGGGCATGTAGCAACCTCGCCAGCTGCAGCTGCTCGAACCCTCGTGTCCTGGAGGACGGTGGGAAAACTCACCTGTCCTTCCTGCCCACTGTAGCGGCAGAGGAGCCCAACCCTATGTCAACCGAAATCAGCTGAGGGCAGGGGAGAAAAGGGGCCTTTCCACTCACTTCCAAGGGGTTTATTTGTGAGACCAGGCAGCCATCAGGCTTCCCAATTACATGAACCTGCCTAACCCCCTCCCTCTCTCTTCCTCTAACAGGGACCGCCTCACTACCTTGAAAGAAAGCTCTTCCTTGGACCCCATCTGCATCGGGCAAGACCTCCCTGCTCAATGCCATTATCGAGCATCAGCTCTTCCTGCCGACGTCGGGGTACCAAGCCTGCACCTCCTGCATGGTGCAAGTCAGCAGCGGCCGGGGCCAAAACTATGAGGCGAAGATTCACCTTCTTTCAGAAGAGGCAAGTTGAGTGCAGCCTCCGGGCACAGGGACAGGGGCCTGTTTTCTGGGCGGATGGGCGAGGAGCCACAGCCCCCGCCCCACAGGGTCATGGTCGCCCATGGGGCTCAATCGGGAAGGGTGTGGGGTCTGCATCTGCCTGGCTCTGCAGGCCACAGCTGGGCTGTAGTTTGCCTTAAACCCCACCCCCTCATTGCCAAGGGCTCCAGCCAGGGAGGAGCACGCAGGAAGGGAGGCCTTCTAAGAGGAGAACCAGGCCCTCCCTGCCTGGCCTGTCGGTGGCCAGAAGGGATTCCCGCTCCCTGAACCACACGCTGCTGGTTCATCTGACGCAGAAGTCAGGGAACTGTTCCAGCTACTCCTGCGCTATTGCTCCCCATACCTGCTCCTCCGGCACTGAGTCACTTCCCAGCTCTCTCTGCTCCGCACAAAGCTCCTGCGTCCCTTGGACTGCAATGCTGTCACACCAATCCCATGCTGTCTGAGCTCGCAGCACTGCTGGGGCTACTTGCCCTCCTCCCATTCTCCTGTCCCACACATGCTGTGATGGATAGGAGGGGTGCTGTCCTTTTCTGAACACTCCCCACGTTCAGTACCCAAAGGGTTAAACCCCGGTAGCTAGCAAGGAGCCAGGAGAACCAATGAGAAGAAAGCATTGAGATTTGAATGGAAGAGATACCTGCCTGCTGTTTTCCGTTGGGTGAGTTTAACCCGGGAGCTGGGGAAACAAGATGAATTGAACCAGACAGAGCTACCATGCCTACAAAGAAACGGACTGGACCTTGTAGCATGGATATGTGCGTAGACAGGGAATGTCTATTTAGACAAGATCAGGTTATTTTCTTTGTTTTGTTGTTTGATTAAACTTCTCTGTGGTAACTCACTGTGCCCCCTCCCCCATACACTGCAACTTTAAGCTGTATCTCAGGGATGAAATTCTCTGTGTTTTAATTTGTGCTTTTCTCAGTTGCTTCAAAACCCCTCGTAACCAAGTCTGCTTTACCAAGGATACCTTGTAGTTTTGTTCATAAAACCCCCTTCATTTTTTAAGGTTATGGTTTGATTCTTGTATCCTGGAAGAGAATAGAAGGTCTCTGTATGCATGTGTAAGATTGCAGCTATGTCTAGACTACAAAGAAAAGTTGGGAAAAGATACGCAAATTGTGAACTGCAATTTGCATATCTTTTTCCACTTTTCTTTTGAAAGAAGCTTTTTTGAAATTTGGTGCATCTACCCAGCACCAGATTTCAGAAAAAAATGCTCTTTCAAGCCGTCCCTTCTTCCTCATAAAATAAGTTTTACAGGGATGGCAAAAGAATAAAAGAAGAAATTTTTCAAAAAAAGCAGACGCTTTCCTTAGATGTGGCATTGTTTTTCCTGTATATCTCCAGTATCCCAGAAAAGCACTACAGGCTAGACATAGCCTGAGCGGTCAACTATCAGCGATTGCAGTTTGCTTTCTTTCTTTTTTTTATAAGCTCTCTTGTAAAACAGCTTGGAGGTACCCCTCTGGAAAACATTCCAAGTGCTTTCTTCCCATTTTCCAGAAGAAAGTGGGGGTGGGGGGTTGTTTTGTTTTTACTTCATGGTAACAATCTATTTCCTGGGTCTGGGACTCTGTGATCTTGGGGAGTTTTTTGAAAGCAGAAGCATCTAGAGGCAACGTATTTTTAAGTTCTCTTGCAGGCCCCCACTTTCTGTACTCAGAGGGCCAGAGCGGGGGACACATGCCCAAGACAATAACAGTCCCTTTGCCTTGCTCTGATCTGGCAGGAGTGGCAGGAGGAGCTGAAGAATCTGGTGGAGGTTGTAGGCAATCCCGATGAGAAGGACAGCGATGTCGATGAAGCTGGCCAAAAGCTCCGAGCCCTCTATGGGAAAAATGCAGAGACCAGGCCTTATGAAGAGCTGTTGAGGGCAAAGCCACTGATACCGATCCCTCCCTCGCGGTGTGTGGTCCTCAAGGATGAACAGGTGAGAGAGGGTGCGCCCGTAAATTCCCACCCAGAAGACAATGGTGACCTTCTAGTCCAATGCTACTCAGACGTCAATGGTGCGGGAGCCAAATTAGCAATTCCCGCCCGCCAAAGAGCCCCAGCCATGTGAATTCGTTGCTTCATTTACCATAGTGCTATATCTCCAAGGGGCCACCGTGTTAGTGTGTAACTGTCAAAACAACGAGCAGTCTTGTGGGACCTTTGCAACAAACAGATGTATTAGGGTATGAGCCTTTGTGGGTAAAACCCACTTCCTCAGGTGGGTTGCAGAGGAGTTTGCAGAATCCAGGCTATATGGAACAGCAAAAGAAGTTACGTGTCAATGGTTGGACCAGTGTGAATGAGGCTAATTGAGTCAGTTGGTTACTAACACAGTAAACTGGCTGAAAACACAGTAAAAGCCTCCTGACTGGTTAATATTTCAGGCATCCTGTAGTGTTGCAGAGAGCTGCAGGAGACACGTTAAAAGGCCATTTGCAACTCAAGAATCTTAGTTTGAGTGTCACTGACCTAGTCTGCAAAAGCGACAAGGAGTCCTGGAGCACCTTATAGACTAACGGAAGGTGCCACAGGACTCCTTGTCGCTTTTGCAGATCCAGACTAACACAGCTCCCCCTCGGATACTGACCTAGGCTGACCTTCTAGATCAAGTGGGCAATAAAAGGATGATGGGTCACATGGGTTAGCCCCTGCTAACCTGCAGGGTTATATTTACCTGCTCCTCCACAGGTATAGACGGTCCCAGCCCCCATTGGCCGGGAACGCTCACAACCATCTGAGGAAGTGGGTTGCCCATGAAAGCTCATGACACTGGTTTTTAAATTTACAGACCAACACGGCCACCCCTCTGAGCCTTTTCACAAGGGGATTTTGATTTTACTTACACTTTGTGCTATGCATAATAGCATCAACACTCTTTGTCCTCAGGCGGAAAAACTCTGTGCAAAACTGGACCCTTATGTCCGGTCTCAAAGAGACGAGGAGGAGCCAGGCCCGGATGCGGAGAAAGCCCTGGAGCGCCTCTGGCCGCTGGTCAAGTACGTGGAAGTGAAGATCCCGAAGTCGGACGTGATTCCAGAAGGCGTCGTGTTTGTGGATATTCCCGGGACGGGCGATTACAACAGCAAACGGGACGACATGTGGAAAGAGGTGACTTCCCAGCTCTGGGGGGAGGGGAGGGAGGGAAGCCGAGAGGGAAGGATGTTGAACCATTGACTTGGCTGGTGAGAATTTCAGCATTGGGTTGAATGGAATTGGCCCCAGGTCATACAGAGGATCGCTCGGAAGGGGGCAGGGTGCTCTCTGGCTTGGGAAAGGTGTTAGCGGGACAGAAGCAGCAGCTGGATCATACTCAGAGGCTGAGCCCCGGATATTAGTCAGAGACACGTCCCAGCCTGGCTCCATTGCTGCTCCTGGATTCCGGCAGCATCAAAGGCCCGTGGGATCTTCCCTCCTCTGCGCTTCACTAGGGGGCTGAGGCTCTTCCTCCTGCATGCCCCTTTTATCTTCTCTCCCCTGGATCCATCCTAGGGGCCCACCGGGAACCTCCACCTAGCGCCGAGGCCCAACGGAGGGACTCAAAATAGAGACGTGAGCCTGCCAATTGCTGGCACAGTCCTGCAAAGCCTGCCCCCAGCCAGTGGGGAATTGCGGGTGCTCTGCATGGGGCAGGATGGAGCCCGGCTGCCTGCCTGCTCCCAGATATAGAATCACAGAACCCAGGGCTGGAAGAGGCCTCGGGAGGCACCAAGTCCAGCCTCCTGCCCAAAGCAGGACCCGGCCCAACTCAATCATCCCATTCTCTCTCTCTCCCTCCACTTAAGAGCATCAAAAAATGTTCAGTCATCTGGGTGATCAGCGACATCAAACGGATTCTGGGGGAGAAAGGCCATGAACAGCTGCTGGCAGAGGGCATCAAAGCGTACCAAGGCGGGATGTGCCGGGACCTGGCCCTGGTGGTCACCCAGTCGGATAACCTGAATCTGGGGGAATACAAGAGGTAGGACCCTCGATCATCCCCGGACTTTGGGGGACTGAGAGGTCTTCCTTTAGAGCAGGGGTGGGAACCTTTTTTGGGCTGGGGGCCACTGACCCACATTAAAGTCAGCTGGGGGCCTCATTCAAGCAAGAAGCCAAAAAAGCCGCTATTGCTCACAGTAGAGGACACTGCTCTGTAGGCCCAGGTTACACAAAGAAATCCACTCAGAGCCCCAGCTTGAATTGTTTTAGACAGAAACATCCTCTGTTTGACAAACCAAAATAGCTGAAATCAGTCACAGCTTTCCTTTTCAGACTAACGTCTCACGTCTCTTGCAGTTTATCATATAATCATAAAATACCAGGACTGGAAGGGACCCTCGTGGCAGGACCAAATACCGTCTAGGCCATCCCTGATAGACATTTATCTAACCTGCTCTTAAATATCTCCACAGATGGAGATTCCACAACCTCCCAGGGCAATTTATTCCAGTGTTTGACCACCCTGACAGTTAGGAACTTTTTCCTAATGTCCAACCTAAACCTCCCTTGCTGCAGTTTAAGCCCATTGCTACTTGTCCTGTCCTCAGAGGCCAAGATGAACAAGTTTTCTCCCTCCTCCTTATGACACCCTTTTAGATACCTGAAAACTGCTCTCATGTCCCCCCTCAGTCTTCTCTTCTCTAAACTAAACAAACCCAATTCTTTGAGCCTTACTTTATAGGTCATGTTCTCTAGAACTTTAATCATTTTTGTTGCTCTTCTCTGGACCCTCTCCAATTTCTCCACATCTTTCTTGAAATGCGGTGCCCAGAACTGGACACAATACTCCAACTGAGGCCTAACCAGCACAGAGTAGAGCGGAAGAATGACTTCTCGTATCTTGTTCACAACACACCTGTTAATGAATCCCAGAATCATGTTTGCTTTTTTTGCAACAACATCACACTGTTGACTCATATTTAGCTTGTGGTCCACTATAACCCCTAGATCCCTTTCTGCCGTACTCCTTCCCAGACAGTCGCTTCCCATTCTGTATGTGTGAAACTGATTGTTCCTTCCTAAGTGGAACACTTTGTATTTGTCTTTATTAAACATCATCCTATTTATCTCAGACCATTTCTCCAATTTGTCCAGATCAGTTTGAATTATGACCCTATCCTGCAGAGCAGTCGCAACCTCTCCCAGCTTGGTATCATTTGCAAACTTAATAAACGTACTTTCTATGCCAATAACTAAATCATTGATGAAGATACTGAACAAAGCCGGTCCCAAAATAGACCCCTGCGGAATCCCACATTATACCTTTCCATCAGGATTGAGAACCATTAATAACTACTCTCTGAGTATGGTTATCCAGCCAGTTATGCACCCCCCTTACAATAGCCCCATCTAAATTGTATTTGCCTAGTTCATTGATAAGAATATCATGCAAGACCATATGAAACACCTTACTAAAGTCTAGGTATACCCCATTCACCGCCTTTCCCTTATCCACAAGGCTCGTTATCCTACCAAAGAAAGCTATCAGATTGGTTTGACATGATTTGTTCTTTACAAATCCATGCTGGCTGTTCCCTATCACCTTGCCACCTTCCAAGTGTTTACAGATGATTTCCTTAATTACTTGCACCATTATTTTCCCTGGCACAGAAGTTAAACTAACTGGTCTGTAGTTTCCTGGGTTGTTCTTATTTCCATTTTTATAAATGGGCACTAGATTTGCCCTTTTCCAGTCTTCTGGAATCTCTCCTGTCTCCCATGATTTTCCAAAGTTGATAGCTAGAGGCTCAAATACCTCCTCTATCAGCTCCTTGAGTATTTTAGGATTCATTTAATCAGGCCCTGGTGACTTGCAGGCATCTAACTTTTCTAGGTGATTTTTAATGTGTTCTTTTTTATTTTATCTTCTAAACCTTCCCCCTTCCCACTAGCATTCACTGTTAGGCATTCCTTCAGACTTCTCAGTGAAGACCAAAACAAAGAAGTCATTGAGCATCTCCGCCATTTCCAAGTTCCCTGTTACTGTTTCTTCCTCCTCACTGACCAGTGGGCCTACCCTGTCCTCGCTCTTCCTCTTGCTTCTAATGTATTTATAAAAAGTCTTTTTGTTTCCTTTATTCCTGTAGCTAGTTTGAGCTCATTTTGTGCCTTTGCCTTTCTAATCTTGCCTCTGCATTCCTGTGTTGTTTGCCTATATTCATCCTTTGTAATTTGTCCTACTTTCCATTTTTTATTTTTAGATCATGCAAGATCTCGTGGTTAAGCCAAGGTGGTCTTCTGCCATATTTTCTATCTTTCCAATGCAGTGGAATAACTTGCTTTTGGGCCCTTAATAATGTCCCTTTGAAAAACTGCCAACTCTCCTCAGTTGTTTTTCCCCTCAGTAGAACTCCACCAAGATCACCTGTGGCCACTAAGAACTTCACAGTGGTAGTGGGGATAGAACTGTGATCCTCTTGTTCCAAAAGCAACATTTGGGCTATTGGAGACTCGCCACTAGCAGGCACTACAGGGCCTAGGACACACACAATTGGCAGTTCTTATACCAGCCAGTAGTGTTCAACACTAGCACCCTCCAGCCTTTCTATAAGGGGAGCAAATGAGCCTAATGGCCAATAAAAGGGGACAAGGCTGGGAAGGCAGTAGGAAAAGGAAATGCAACCAGATGATTTGATCCCATTCGCCCCACGCTCCCCTCTGCTCCGTTCACATAGCTGAGACACAGTTGTGAAAAGGGGAGTGGCCTGGCAGGAGAGGGGAGGAGTCAAGGGACATTTTCTGCTCCTTTAAAGAGACAGGAACAGCAGCTTGTTCTTCTGGCTGGCGTTAACGCCCCCTTCAGTTCAATCCATGCGCTGGGCTGGTTCAATACCAAGGAAGACAGAAACGCAAGGGAGGGAGATTTTGAGTGAGCTTAGGCATGAGGGGTCCAGACAGGCTGGTGAATAAGGAAACGAAGGTAAATCTACACTTCTAAGATTCATCCTCAGCAAGTTACAATCTCCTGAAATGTGGGTGCAGATAAAGATCCTGTCCCGATCCCACGTGGCTGCCAGACTGTCTGGTGTAGGCTCCAGGCTGTCTTCTCCTCCCCTGAAACAAAAGGCAGGACTGTGCAGCACTTTAAAGACTAACAAGATGGTTTATGAGGTGATGAGCTTTCGTGGGCCAGACCCACTTCCTCCCCTGTGATTTTTCAACGCCAATGAGCTCTTCACAACCTCAGATATAGATGAATAATTCCCAGCATCGTGCCACACCTGGTGTGAGGTGTTGCCTTCTTTCCTTTGTTTGCAGAGAGCTCGTTTCTCCAGCCCTCTGACTTTCCTGCCCACCTGCAGTGACCTTTGTGGGCTGACTCTACATACACCAGTTTGGTGTCATCTGCAGATGTTGCCACCTCCCTCTTCACCCCTTTCTGCAGATCACTGGTAAATATGTTGCATAGGATGGTCCCAGGACAGAGCCTGGAGGACCCCCCTAGTTACCTCTCTGCACTCGGAAAACTGACCATTTATTCCGACCCTTTGTTTCCTGTCTTAATAAGTTCTCAGTCCATGAGAGGACCCTCCCTCTTATCCCATGACAACTTACTTTGCTTAAGAGCCTTTGGTGAGGGACCTTGTCAAAGGCTTTCTGGAAATCTAAGTACACTCTAGCCACTGGATCCCCCTCGTCCACATGTTTGTTGACCTCCTCAAAGAACTCCAGCAGATTAGTAAGGCAGGATTGCCCTTTACAGAAACCATGTTGACTTCCCCTAACAAACTATGTTCATCTACGCTCCTTTTTGACTGAGTATTCCGGTCAAAAACCAAACACCAGGCAACCTTGCAGGCAAGAACATTACTGATCAGCGAGTTATGAGTTTTCCAGTGAGATATTGCATGTCACCTTCTGGGTGTATACGACGACAGGGTGTTAGGTGCAGCTTGCCTGACACAAATTGTTCCATGGGCATGTGTGTCACAGGGGGTTAGCAGGAAGCAGGTCATTCTGTTATTGTCCTCCAGAGAAAATCTTGCACCTTCCCCTGGAGCACCTGTTGCTGGCCAACCCCGGAAACAGTAATGCGGGGCTAGAAGGACTTTGGGTCTAATCCAGTCTGCCTTTGCACTTTACAGACTGGTCATTGTCACCTCACAGACCCCGCTGCTCACAGGACAGGACAGGGGTTTTGAAGTTTGCTGAACCTGGTTAATGTGTCCTTTTTGTCTTTCTTCCAGGGAAAGGAAAGTGAAAAATGTGAGTATTTGCAAACCTTTTTTCTTAAAGGAGGTTATAATCTTTTTTGAAAAAGAGAGAAAGAGAGAGAGAGAGAATACTGTCTATGAACAAAAATGAGAGCTAGCTGATTTGTCTTCTGAAGACGAATGTTCCCCCTCCTCATATTTATCAGTCCTTGGCAACGTTCCCTCTATTTTTAATGTGTATGTGGAATAAATTTTGTTGTATGCACTAAGCCATGCTCAGATGTGCACCACCAAATCGAAACACGTGGTGCCAGTTGTGGGAGGCTGTGGGTGCTCTGCTAATTAGGTAGGCGGCATTTCACTCTCTGCTGCAAAGTGCTCAGTTTACAGGGAATGCTGGTCCTATAAAAACAAGTCCTGCTCACTGTAAGAGGAGCTATAGGATTAAATTTTGAAAAAATTAGGCATTTATAGCATGCTTGGATCCTGTCTAGATGTCACTTGCTCACCACACACATGGGAGTCCCTCACTTGCTTTGTGTACATAACAGAGAGTTTAGCTCGCAGTCAGGATAAAATTACAAGAACTATTGGCATTTGTACCTCAGGAAGGAGGTTGATCACCAGCTAGAACCAGGTAAATATCCTGAGAGAGGCCCTGATCCAGTGGCGTGAGATCCAAGAATTCCTTTGATCTCACCCAATCTGTGACAAACTCAACATGTGCCCTTAGGCAAGTCACTTAACCTCTGTGCCTTGGCTTCTCCATCTGTACAACTGGGGCAGCAGGGCTGTCCACATACATGGCAGCCCTGAGGAATGCAAGAGGTTAGAACTTCGGCAGCTGAGCAACGTTGACAACAAAGCCGAGTGGAATCCGTCCTATGGGTTTATGACCCTAATCCCAGTAGTGTCCAAATACCTCACAAAGCTTCTCAAAATTCCTGGGTAAGGTTCTTTGCCTGGTGTAAGGTTGGTCCCTGGTGGCCTTAGATGGTCCCTGGTGGCCATCACATCTGCTGTAGCATTTTGGCAAGTTTCGAAGTGATCTACAATAGCTTTTATTGTATTTCCGTGTGTAGAAATCCATAAGAAATAAACACGACGCCATTATAGAGAGGAACACAACGGTGAAACTGGAGAAGGGCAGCCAAATGAAGGTCAAGCTCCAGGTAAAGTTAGGATCCTGAGCGCTCTGGTTTCAGTTGCGTGACTACAGAATACGGTGGTTATACCCTATGCATATATTAGCAGAATTGGGATCAATGTATTGACATGAGAAAGCTGCTCCAATATGACTCTGCCAAGCTTTTAGACTAGCCATGGGCATGCTGGCTAGTGTGTGGGCTGCAGGAGTGGCCCTCCTTCATCTCAATGGGCTGCAAGATTGTTGTATCCCAGAGGGTCTCCCAGGATACGCCAGCTTTGCTCACTGTGCTTGAGAACTTTAAATTTGTGTGTGCGCGTGCGGAGCGGGGCGGGAGACTGAACTGTAGCAGCACAGTGATTGGAGGCTGAGGAAGCATGCGGCTCTCGCAGTCAACGTCATGTGCCATCGACACGCCCCTCACTTCCCATGCTCTGGCTTTATGTGCCCATCACTTTAGTAAGGGTATGTCTACACTACAGAGTTTTGTTGGAAAAGCGACCGATTCTCCGACAACCTGAGTTATGTCCACATTGCAATCGCATTCTTCCAAAAGTAAATCCAAAGAACAGAGGGGATTTCCGACATTGGTAATACACTTTCTATGAGGACGAAACTTTTTTGGGAAAGAGCTCTTTGGGAAAGGCATCTGTGGAAGGGGGAGAGAGTTCTTTCGCAAGAGGAGGAAAGAGGAAAAAGCACAGGGCGCACAGGTGCCCTGGTGGCCACTCTGTCCATAGTAATCACAGCTTACATGCAAGAAAGCGTTCACACTGAATGGACACTATCTGTCAAAAAAGCAGATCACTTTTTCGATGTGCTTTTGCTGTATGGATGCTCTCTTTTGGAAGAAGTTTTTTCGGAATATCCCTCCAATAAAAGGTTCTTCCGGAAGAAGCCTGCAGTCTAGACATAACCTAACTACAGTAGGAAAAAAACAACGTGGACGGAAAATAGCATAATCTGACAGCCCTGTGTGTGGGCAGTGGTAACAAAATGTCTCGTGGCCCACATGTGAGACCCC